CAAAACTGAACACAGTATTCGAGGTGCGGCCTCACCAGTGCCGAGTCCAGGGGGACGATCACTCCCCTAGTCCTGCTGGCCACACTATTTCTGATACAGGCCAGGATGCCATTGGCCTTCTTGGCCACCTGGGCACACAGCTGGCTCATATCGAGCTGGCTGTCGACCAACACCCCCAGGTCCTTTTCCGCAGGGCAGCTTTCCAGCCCCTCTTCCCCCAGCCTGTAGCGCTGCATGGGGTTGTTGTGGCCGAAGTGCAGGACCCAGCACATCAACAATAAAAGAAAAAGATACAAAGACTGCGAGTCCAACATGATGTCACTAACTAGTGACATGAACAGCAATGTACTGCTTTACTGTTAATAAAAGAAGTCAGGGAAGACCAAGGCTCATTTTATTTAAGGATAAACTCCAGTAGCTGGTAACTCATCACTGACAGTATAAAAAGAAGGGCAACACGTGACAACTCTGCGTAATACTGCACAGCAGACAGAGCAAGGGGAACGAGACTAGCTGTGTGTGCAACTGCCCAGTTGTGATCACCAAGGTGGGACAAGGCAAGGAGGACTATATCACAGTGTCAAGAAATGAATGTAGAAGTTACAAAATATCTGCTTAAATTGTTCATCCTCTCCACGTAGAAGGCTGTGTCTGGCACTGTTACCACAGATACTCCAGCTTATTAAAATCATGCAATTAAGTAAAGAGTCAAACAATCATAAGTACTTGAGTTAAAGCAGTTTAAGAAATTACCAACCACTTAGCTAGAATGTGAAATCTATATATATATGCACTGTTAAGTGGGCTGGCTTGAACCACCACTGTTGGTGATTTACACTAACCCATTTTACTCGATGCTGTGAAAGACTGGGGTGCCCATACAGTCAGCTGTGTTGTCTCAGGCGAGGTAGTATTAATTTCCAACTGAGCAGGCAACAGCTCCCTCAACTCCTTTGCCTTGATGGCACCGTGATGGATGTCCTTATTTTAAAAGCTTGCTAAATGTTAAAATTCTGAGCAAGAAATTGCTATCAAGAGAGGAAAGATGCTAGCACAATTACTTTTAATGCATCCTTATTTTTATAAAACATATTCTAAGTGAGATTAGTTATGTCATCCATTAGTTATGTTGTCCAAGAGCCTTGACAAATGGGTTTTGTTGGGTTTAGTTATCATGGTTCAAACAAACAAACAAACAAACAAAAAATTCACTGCCCCAACCGCCTGCTCCATTTCATTGCCAGGGGTTCTTGTCCCCAAAGCATGAAGGGGAGAATAAGATCCCTGTTTATATCTCACTTGCTCTGGTTCACAACTTGCCGTATTAGCTTAAACAGCTGATGAAGGTGGGCCTGCATTAACACTGGCCTGAGACAAGTTTCCAGGTCTGTTGAGTGGGGACA